AATAACGCATCGGTGTACAAATAGATTATAACTCTATATACACACACGCGCGCACACATACATACGCACACACCCGCATGCACGTACACGCACACACACACGCACACACGCACACGCACGTACGCATGCACACACGCGCGCACACACACACACACACACGCACGCACGCACGCACACATACACACATCGATGCGTATCTAGTCTGTTTACCTGTACCACGCGAGTCATGTATAGTGAGCGATGTAGCATCGCCACGTACCCTCACAATAAAGAAACAATATATATATATATATATATATAATATATAAATAAATAAATATATATATATATATAAACATATAGATATACATATACATATACCATATATATATAAACGTATATATATATATATATACGTCTCTGTTTGCGGGTCGGACTGCGTTTTGCCTCACCCACCNAAACCAAAAAAAAAACTTTAGTAAAGTCTTTACAAGCAAAGTGATTAAGGTACCATTTCGACACTCATACGTACACATTACATACATTTCATCAAGAGTACGTAATAGGAGATCTCCTATTATGTACTCTTGATTACATATTACATATACGCACACAGACACACACATTTATATAAATATAGACACATATTCATTCAGAATGCAACATTGTTCTTCTATCTGCTATATGTTGTTAAAATTGTATTACATTTTTTTTCTTTAAGTGCTAAGTAAAGGCTTCTTTTTGTGTCTATTGCTAGTTTATTCCATTGGTTTATTGTCTCCCTAGTGAGAGAGTTGTGTCCATACATATTACTTGTTGATTTAATGTAATATTTGTCAGGTAAGGTAGGTGATTATTTCTAAGTGGTTTGTTTTGATGGTGGATGTAGTAAATTTGCATATAAATATAACTGTGTGGTATTTAATTAGGTATACTATTCGATTGGAAGTATTTTTAGTTACTCTCTAGTTCTAGTAGCTGCTTCTGTCTGTCTCTGTGATGTAGCGTTTTTGTAGGAATAACCTGTTATAATGCGTAGAGCATAATTCTTTAGTGTGTTTAGTTTATCTAAAGCTGATTTGGGGAGATTTATAAGCAGAGTAGATCCATATATGAGATGCGACAGCCAGAGTGACGAGTATATTTGCAGCTTTCTGTTTGTGTGTAGTTGTCCCCGTATCTGTCTGAGGAAGCTAATATACTTGTACTCATCTTGTCTACTATGTAGTTAGTATGGTCATTCCACGTTAAATGCTGATCTATACATACATACCTAAAAAATTTACTTTTCTCGATTGTGGCATCGAGTTGTTACTTATTTCCAACTCAATTTTGTTAGTATTCACAATTTTATTACTGTTGGTACAAAATAGCATGAATTCTGTTTTGTCTGGGTTCATTTGTAAATTATGGTAATCGAATTTGTTACATTTTTTCTACATTTATTTGCAGTGTATTATTAGCTTCATTTGGATCTGAATTTGTGGCATATATACATGTATCGTCAGCATATTGGGTCAGTTCACATTTTTCGAGTATGTTTGGTATATTGTTGATGTATATGCAGAATAGTAACGGTCCCAGTAATGTCCCCTGCGGGACTCCTCTAACAATAGCCCCCCATTCTGATGTGGTGTTGTTAACTTTTACTCAATGTTTTCTGTCTGTTAAGTATTTATCAATCCGTGTTGTAGAGTATGTGTCAAATCCTACTTGTTTTAGTTTTTGAAGCATTGTTTTGTGGGATATGCTGTCAAAAGCTTTGCTTAAGTCAAAAAATGCGGTCGCTACAAATTTGTTATTGTCCAAATTGTGCCTCCAGTACTCTGTGGTCGTGATTAGTGCGTCAGTGGTACTGTGATTTTTCCGAAAACAAATTGCTTTTTGTATAGTTAGGAGTTTCTTTGTAGGCAATCGCAGATTTTAGTGTATAATACTTTTTCTATTAACTTACCAAAACAATGAACTATTGAGATAGATCTGTACGTAGTTCTCTGGATTATCTCTATCTCCTTTTTAGCTCATCTGCCATAGTCAGATGCAGCTTGTAGAATCGCATGAGCGTGCGTCCGGCCGTGCGTCCGTCCGTCCGTGCGTCCGTGCGTCAACATTTGGGCACAAATCTTAACCGCTTGACGTACAGTCACGATATTCGGGACGTGGGGGGATCGTCAAAACGAGTTGGGATGTCGAAGCTGGGTGGTCAAAGGTCAAAGGTCAAGAGGTGTAAAAGAAAGGGGAACATTCCCTCCTTAACTTAAGGTATAGGGAGGAAATGCAGAATTGCGGCACAAATCTAAACGGCTCGACCTAGGCTCGTGATAGTCAAAGCCGTGATAGGAAAAGCCATCACTGTGCCGAAATTGG